GAGAAATTAAAAATACTTGTTAACAGGGAGCGTGTTGTGATTGAACAAAAATTAAATGACAAAAGACTATTTCAGAAGACGATGTTTAAGACTATTTTAATGGACAACCGGTTTTAAAACATATCAATGTTATTATTGGGCATCCATCTAGTGAGTGCAGTTGTAAAGTATAATTTTATCTTGATTGACTTTGATTTCTCATTTGCATATTCATATCATCTAGTGCTTATCACTAACTTCTTTTATCATTATCAAATTTATTAATTCAGAAACCGAAACAGGCTGTAACCAGGAGCTAATTGCCTTTTTGAAGGAACAGCTCAAAAAATCTCACCATGGTACGTATAAGTGTGACACTTCATTTGGTTTCGAGCTTTTTTTATTAACTCATCATTAAATTATAGAATTTACTATCATTGTTAAGCCCAAGACAGTAAATGGATTCAAGTGGATCACAAATATTGATGAAGCAACTCTTAATAGTCTGAAGAATGAAATAAAGAATAGAAAATTGTCACTGGTGTTAGAGGATAATTATTCTGCAATACTTGAATGTTCATATGAAAAAAATAGTAAAGAAGATGAAAAATTTATCCCAAGAGATGATCGAAAATTTTGCAATATGCTTCGGATATTCATTTCAAAAAAAAAAAAAAAACAAATATTCAGATTATACATTTCCATATCATTTCCCTCGAGACCTTTCGCCGATTGGACACTTCCAGAGGTATGCCAGCTCTATGGACTCTGCGATATTGAAGATGACGTATCATTGGATGTGTTTCCACGTTTCATTTGTGGATGCAAAGATTTAAATGATGAAACATCACAGATAATACTCAAATAGCTTATATCAGAATTAAAATTTTGTCTCAAGACTGCTTCAATGCATTCAAATGAAGCATCAAAATCCCATTATGTGTTTTCGTACCTTTTATGGGGGCAAATTTATATGACGGGATGATTGAGATCAAGACAGAAAAAGGACCTAATGAGCCAATTGATTTCTCAATAGACAATCAAAACATCAAAAACTGCTAGCATAACTGAAGTTAAGTATCAAGATTTTGAGAAGGGTGTTGCTCAGAATGCTGTTCAGATTGAATCTGTTTTGACAAATCGCAAGCGTAAAGCTGAAGAGATGGAAGAAGTATTTGTAATCAAAGTGTTCGAAATTATTACAGATGCGATAAATTGGTATTTTTTGGAATGCACTTATGATGATAATGGAAAACTGAATTTCAAATGATCAACATTAGTATATTGCCTGGTTATTGCAGAAACCAACAGATTTAAATATTGAAGTGCAATCTGTGAAAAGGCAAAAGAAATCAGAACAAGATAATAATTTGTAAATATTTTAGTTTTATGAAATTCACGCTATATCATAATAAATATTGGAAGGCTGATTGCTATTAATAAAATTTACTGTTTTTCTTTCTCATAATAACATTTGAAAAGAACTCCTTCTATACTCTTGTTACCCGAAACCTTTTTGCTAAAATCCAAAAGTTTCAGGTTTCATACTTTCTAAAACCTTTCCCGAAACCAGAAACCTCATCCAAACCCGAAATCTCACTTGAAACTTAAACTCTTACCCGAAACTCGAATGTTAATTATACAATATATAAATTTATTTTGTGCAACACATTAATATTATGTAAGATTTCTGAAATTGACTAAAAAATTTTCTCGTATTTTAGGACCTGCTTATTATCTTTATCGTAACTTTTCGGAACATTATTTTAGTATTACCGTAGAGGCTGTGTGGGTTTGAAACCAAAGATCATGAATAGATCCCATAAAACTGGGTTCGGAACCCTTGAAAGTTAAAATGTATAAATACAATGCTTAAACTAATAAAAAACTTACCTCTTTCTGCTTGTCCCTAATAATAAGTAAAGTAAATAATATAACATACTTAAACTCGAATTTATGTCGAGCTAAATTGGTGCCGTATGATCAATAACTCCATAAACTAATTTTTTTTGCTAACTCACAAATTAGAGTTTACTATGTTTTTGAAAAGTTCAGCTTGCGTTTTACTATGTTTTTAGCATTTCTGGCCTCGCAATTTTACTATTTTACTATGTTTTAAAATTTTTTTCAATTTCAGTTCGGCCCGTGCAGACCTCAGGGGCACCATAGGTGGAAAATTGGAATGTTGGTGATTATTTAAATTAAACGATGAGATTAAATAGAATCTAAGCCAATAAGATATAAAACATGGTGTGATTACTGAGATTAAAAGTGATATAAGTTGCTTATAAGTTTTTATATCCCATTTATGAGTAGTGCTCCGAAAAGATTAACTAATAAACCTTCTAATGATTCTGAAAGATTTGACGATCATTCTCTAGGGCTTGTTGGTGGGGTCTTTTTTTGGTTGTTGTTGTTGGGTCTTTGTTGTTGTTGTTGTTGTTGAGGCGGTTGATGCAGTTGTTGCTATTGGCTTTTGAGCAGCTGGTGCAATTAATTTTTTTGTGGTTGGTGCGGTTTGTTTTGGGTGGCTAGTGCAGTTGATTTTTGGGTGGTTGGTTTTTGGGCAGTTGGTTTTGGTTTACTTATGGAGACATTTTTTTGCCTAATGCATTAATTAATTCTTCAATGTTCAGTAATTCTTCTGGGGTTTTGTTTCTTTTTACATCTCTCTTCTTCTTTGTATATAATACTACTATATCCTTATCATCATCCTCATCTGAACTTTTTTCTTTTTACTTGTACTTGTTTTTTCTTTTATTTTTGAATTACCTTTATTAACTTTTTTTTGTACTTTTTTTACTTTTATTTTTTTTTTTTAGGTTTTCTTCTTCTGTATCATAGTTCACATCAAAGTGCTTCTTTTTTATATTATATCTTTTATAGGTCTTAGTAGATAATACCTAATTTAGGCAATCTGCTAGCAAAATATTTTTTTATAATCTATGTATTTTTTTTTTTATTTTTTTTTATACTTAGGCAATTTTGCCTATCATTTATTAAAGAAAAGCTTAAATAAGCTACAGAGTAAAAAACTATAAATATTCTATACTAAATTACTCTTTTTTATGCTAATTCTAGACTTACTCAGCTACCTTCAAGTGTCTAAGTACGATCTGCTGCAATAGCAATTTCCTTCATAAAAGTAATAAATTATATTCATAACCTACTTACTCCTAATCCTTAGGAGGCTACTACCAGTCTTTATCAAGATCTCTTATTTTATTTTAAAATATGACCACTCTTCCTTTGAACTATGAGTGATCCATTTGTCGATTCTTTTAAATGCATCTTCTCAAATAGCAAATTCTTTTTCTTTTTTTGTTTCCTTTTCTGCTGTTATTTCTTTTTTCCTATTTGATCATAATTTCACATTGAAACTTCCATAGACGTTCAAAAAAGCAAGTCCAAAATTGATCTAAGAAAAATGAAAGAATTTTGTTTGCTTTTTTTTTTGAGTTAGTTAACTTTGTAATCTCTCTTTGTTGTTTAATACTTGTAAGTTCTCTTATTAGTAATTTCCTATTTTGCATATACGTATTTGGCTTATTTCCAAAGATAGCACTTCTGAATGATCTATCTTCTAATGAAATATCTAGTTCTGTTAATACTTGTAAGCCAGTTAACTGTAAGGCTTCCTCTTCTAGGTTTTTACATATCTTAATATACATTTCGCATTCTGCAATATGATATAGTAACTCATCTTTTCTGATGCAGGCAATGCATCTCTAGTTTTTGTATAATGTTGGGTTTCTTAAAAAGCATATGTCCTTAGTCGGTAATACACTGTTTATACATTTGATACAGAATAAAAGTGCTTTGCTTTTTTTCATACTGATGCAGTTTTTGCCTTGCCATTTTTTAAGTACTTGCCAGATATTGTTCTAGATAAAACCTTCATATGTAGGCTCTTTCTGGTTTACGTTAAAGATTTCTGTCATTTTGCTTAATTTAGACCACTCCGTTTCATAGTATGCTATTGAGGTTAGATTGACAAAGGATCTTAAAGAGCTGTTGATAATCTGCTCTTTCTATTTGGGTATAAAAGCAATGTAGCTTAATACAACTTCTGGTATCTCAAGCATATCTTGCATACATATTTTCTTCTTAGCAAAGTTATCTGCATAGTCGTTTCCTGCATTGCTACTATATCTTTTAACTTTGTGTAGCTTTAAGTCAAAATTTTTAGCTTTGCAATATTCTTGTATTTGCCTTAGTAGGCTTCAGTTTTTTGCTTTGAACTATTTGTAGAGTTTTCTATTATCTCTAGATTTTTCGATTGCTTCAATTACTGCTTTGCTATCTGTGAATATATGAACTTGTGCTCTAGCTAGAGTTGTTAGCAGAGCAGTCCAAATAGCTCCTAGTTCGGCACGTATAGAAGAGGGCCAGTTTCCTATACTACTACTAAAACTAATTTCTCTAGCTAATCTATTTCTTATTTTTATGATCCAGCCTATTCCTATCTTGTTTTCACCTTTACTATTAGCTACCATTGCTCCATCTATATAAAATTCTACTGTCTCTTCATCTTTTAGCTTTTCACTTAGTTTAAGTAGATTCTGTTTAATCGAGTTATTTCTAATAGATTTATATATAATTGTACTTTCAAAAGAGTTGGCTACAATTTCTACTCTAACTTCTTGTCATGGTCTGAAGTTAGAGACTAATTCTTTTTCTTTTAAATACACTACTATAGATGCTTTGAGTATAATTTTTTCTTCTTCTTTATGAACATCTATAACCTGGTGCTAATTACTCATTTTAATAGTTAATTCACATATACTATTGTTGAATTTTCCTTGGTTGCATCGTTTACACTTGTAGAAGATTTCTGTTTTTTTTCCTGCTGTTGTTGTTTTTTTCCAATACTCTGCAATTATACTTTTTCCAGTCTTTCTGATAGTTTTGCCTACATGTAGTTCATAATTTTTCAGTACTAGTAACTATTCTTTTTTCCTTCTATCTTGAGCGATTCTCCTTGCTACAACTCTGATTGACTTCTCATTTTTGCTATGTAACTTGTATATATCTAGCACTTCTCTATTGCT